CACCCCAGCACCTTTCCAGAGTCCTCAGCACAGCGAGCGAGATGTCATTAAAAATGCACAACCCCCCAATTCTAGCTTCCTCACAAAGCCACTTAGGCAGAAAACCAGGTCGTACAAAACCAGGAAAACATGACTTAATTGGTCCACACAATACAGTACATAGCCAAGTGGAAAAACGGGAACGGTTATTAAACCTATTAAACCATCTCAAAGCAGAAGCCACCCTCCATCTAGGGGAGAACGCCCTGACCTTGGGGCAGGAGTTTCTGTCACTTTACGGCTGGTGGAGCACATCTGAAGTAGGGCTCAAGGAAGGACCGAGGGTGCCTTCCCCAAATGGCTACCTAGGGATGTCTTCGTCTGAGGCCAGTCGGTTGCAGGGCAAAGCCCCCTAGCTGCTGCATTGGCCTTCTGACCAATGTGTCCTTCAAAAGCAACAGCTCACGTCGGATGGAGGCTCTCCCCTTGTGGGGCGAGCTGTGCTGGAGCAAGACGTGGGCCCCCCGATGCTCTTCCCTTCTGACCCCGGACTCAGCACACCTCCCCACTTGGGCCAAGCTGCCACCAATTGTGGTCAACTAGCCTCCCTCCTGCTGAGAGTTGGGGGGGGGTCTCCTAAAACTGCCTCTGGCCTTTTGTCCTTGGAAGGACAACAGAGCTTGTGGGAGCCCTGGAGAGCAGGCATCCCACCGTATTGGTTCTGTCATGAGACCTGAGGCAGGTGGCCTGAAACTCCTCCATTTACTCTGGCCAGCTCTTTGTGAAAACCTGCTCTGCTGGTTGCTTGGTGGATGCAGAGAACCATCAGCCACTGCTTTCCTCTGGGAAGTTGACTTCCCAGTCTGCCTTGCGATCCTCACGTGCCCTGTGGTTCCCCATCCAAATATTAACCAGGCCTGCCCCGGCTTAGCTTCCGAGCCTAGGAGAAGTCAGATGGGTGCGGTGATCTCTTGAGGCTTCACTTCCGGACAGACACCAGAAGCATTAAAACAAAATCATACTGTTCTTAAGGTTTTTGAGCTATGAACTATCTACTTCCCCAAGCTAACTCCAAACACAAGGTTAGGATATAAAAAAAGGGAAGAAGCCCTGAAAAACTTACCAGGCAGTTGAACTTGGGAAAGACATCAGCGGTGGAGTTAAAGCTTCTCCTTTTAAGGTGTGGACAGCCTGGGATGGTCGAGGGGCAGGCTGACAATGCATCTGAGTCTCTACTTGCCTTGAGTCCTGAGTTGGTTTAATCCACCGGCTTGCTTCCGGTTTCATCCACTTCCCCTGGATTCCCCATCTCGCCATGTAAACTTTGCAAATGTCGTAGTTCATGGAGGAGTAATACAAAAGGTCCAGAACCAGCAAGATGACCACGAAAAACCCATAGACCCAAACTCCTAACAGCGCACTGTAATTGCTGCAGAAAGAGAAGAGAAAGCTGGTGTTAGCAAAGGTTGCTTCCTGCTCCTCTAACTAGGCACTTAAAGCTATGACATGCGTAGCAAATACGATCCACGTTTCCATCTCTACGGCTTCTCTTCTTCCCCAAAGTGAAACCAGTGGGCTTGAACTCTGCTGTAGCCTCTTGTAACACGCACGCCGTGCCTAGCTTCAACAAGGCCATGGGACATCTGCTTATGCATATTCCTTTGACACTGGTGCATCGTGCAATTTCTCACTGATGCCTGTGAGTGAGGGAGACACACACGCCTGCAAAATCCTGAACTCACAGGACAGATGAACTCACAGTTGTAGCTGGAGCAGAGGAAACTTGGACTCTGGGATATCTGGAAGACTTTGAAATGGCATGGTCTAGATCAGTGTTTCTCAACCTTGGTGACTTTAAGATGCATGGACTTCAACTCCCAGAATTCCCCAGCCAGCTATGCTGGCTGGGGAATTCTGGAGTTGAAATCCATGGATCTTAAAGTTGCTGAGATTGACAAACATGGCTGTGGCAGATGCTGTTCCAAAGAGCAGATGCAGCCACCCTTAAGAGCTGCAAGATGCAATCCTCACAGAGGTAGCATCTTGGCCCACGGGTGCCCCAGCCATCTCCCCAAGCGGGTGACCAGTTTTTAAACTTTTGTGTACTTGGCAGCAGTTGTTGCACGTTGGCATATCAAGTCGTCTGCCACAACCCGGCCTGCGAGCGCCTGTTAAGAGTCGCACCAGCAAAGCCGTAAAAAGTCAACTTGCGGTTCTAAGCAGGCTGGAACCCAGTGGTCTTTCCTCCCACCCTGATCCCTGAGAAAGTCTTTTGGGTTCACCCAATGGGCTAAACCGTCACGGGGTTGGTGCGTCGTGCAAACACAGCCATGGTTTAGGGTAGGCGGCGGGGCAAAAAGTTGCTCGCCAACCCCTCCGTGGCCGCCCTGAGAGCTGGAGTCCAGTGACTCGGCCCACATTTTCAGAATTCTCTCCCATCCTCCCCTCCCACCCCATGAAACACTTCCCAAGATGGGGCCTGGCCTTTCAGTTTTGCTGGGCCAAACTTTGCTGAGGCCTTGAGGTGGCCAAAGGTGTGCCATCCCGGCATAGGTGTCAGCAGGTTGTGTATCCAGCACAAAAACTACCAATTTGTTCAAGATAACCGTGGTTCGTTTAACATAACCATGGTTCATTCAATGTAACCATGGTTAACCAAGGGACAGCTGAGTGCACTGTAAGAACAACATCTTGCCCTGATTCTAATCAGCCACCTAAATGTCCATGTTTCCTTCTGCTCTCACTGCTTTGCAATACACGTCTTCGTTTAGCGACCACAATTGGATAGGTGACTTGGTCATTCAGTGAAGCAGTTGCTAAGGGAAACCACAACTGTGCTTATGATCTTCCTTCAGGTGTCCTTTCCTTTACAGCAGTGTTTGTCAGTCTCAGCAACCACGATAGCACTTGTGGGGCCAACGCAGTTTAGGCCCTGTTAAACAGGCCACGTGGATTATTTATTTATTTAGAAAAAAAATGTATAGGGCTTCATATACAAGAACCTCTGGGCAGCTAACAAGCCGTACATAAAAAAACCATTTTATAAACCAAGATGAAACAAAACAGAATACAGGTAGTCCTCATTTTGCAACCACAAGTGGGACCAGCAACTTGGCCATTAAGGGAAGTGGTCACTAAATGAAACCATAACTCTGCTTATGATCTTACTTCAGCTTTCTTTTGCTTTACAGCAGTTTCTCAGTCTCTGCAACTTGAAGATGGGTGGACTTCAACTCCCAGAATTCCCCAGCCAGCCATTGGGGAATTCTGGGAGTTGAAGTCCATACATCTTAAAGTCACTGAGACTGAAAAACACTACTTTACAAACCTGCGACAGTCATAAATACAAGGATTGGTGGTAAAGTTACTTTTTCATCCCCATCGTAACTGCGAACGGTCGCTAAACAAGGCAGTCGCCGAACAAGGTCCCCCTGTAGTCGCCCGCTGCTTGCCAATAAAAGGACTCGACTCGCCCTGCTTCCAAATCTTCCTCCAGCTACTTCAGCTGGACTCCAGCCCTTTTCATCTTTGCCGAGAGGCATGTTTTTATGTGTTTTCACCAACGATCTTCTGGAGGCCAGAAGCTTCCTGGCCCAGCGTCGTCGTGTGTCTGCGTGGGAAAGAGCAAATCAACAATGCCTCTGTGTGTGTGTGTGTTTGTGCGTGTTGCTGCCTTACGGCAAGGGGACCAAGCTGACCTGCTACCATCATGTGGTGGAGTTACGCAAGACAGGAACGGCTCTTTGTTGATTCTCACGCTGAGAAGGCCTGCAAAAGAGGGAGGGGATCCAGGGGAGAAAGACGGTGGAAAGGCACGTTCCGGGTTGACGTTCCACCATTAGAAAGTACGTTGGGGGGGTTATAGCCAAATCCACACCTCCCGTGGGTGAGCTGATACAAGAGGTGACGTGACCAGGCCAGAAAGAGGAAGAAGTCAGGGGTGACTCAAGAAGGGGACCGAGGGGAAAAAAAGCGCTTTCCTTTCCTAGCTCGTTGCCCCATGAAAACGTCCTGAATCTGCAGCCCAAAATTGGATCTCACCACATGTAACGTGGCTCAGATGCATTTTGGGTGTAACCCAACGCCAAAGCCCCTCGTCCTCGACGCAGCTGCTCCGAAATAGCTCCGGCTGGAATTGCCCTCTTGCTTGGCACGTGGTGGGGCGTCTTGTATCAGGACCCGTGGAAGGGAAGGGAAAGGGGGGGGATGGACTGACTGTCCGGCAAATGTAAGAGCTCCTCCAGGCAGGCCAGGCCTGGGATATCTGATGACAGGCTGAAGCTACGAAACTGAATCGTGGGCCTGGAACGTCGCCAGGGAATTTTGCGTGGACATAAAATGGATGGAGTTTTTCCCCCCACGGATCATGATTTGCATAGATGTCTTTTGGCTTGCAAGCCACGTCGCTTCTGAGCTCTTAGCTTGGAACCAGGAAACCTAGAGAGAGGAGACCCATGCAGAGGTCACACATCACCCCCCTCCACCCCCCCTTGCCCTTGGGTGGAGGGTGGTGATGCGCAACCCTCTGTGTGGGTCTCCTCTCTCTAGGCTTCCTGGCTCTGATGGCCATTAGACCCATAACCTACCTATCCCCCCTTGTTCTCTGCTTCCATGGCAAAGCCCGGGAAGAGAGCTTCTGCAGCGCTCCTCAATTCAGGAATGCCCTTTGCATGCCTCTTTAGAGGCAATAGGCGAGGCTGCAGATCCAGCGGTGGAGCGCGGGAGCCATCCGCCCGGCCTGGCTTTCGCCTTGCCGTGACTACATGTCACTGTTTCTCGTGTTTTGTTCCGATCGGCCAAAAAGGGGAGGGAGAGGGATGGAGAGAAGAGACGGGGTGGGGGAGAAGGAAAATGGGTAGGTAGATAGGAAGGTAGATTGGGAGGGAAGAAATGGAAGGCTCTCTCAGCTTCTTCTTCTTCTTTTTTCCCCCCCTGCCAGAGTAACTGTCCAGCTGTCTCTCCCCGTGTTCGAGTTATATACAGCACTGTGCTTCTCCTCCACTTCCTGGGTGGAGCTGGTGCTGGGGAGAGGCAAAAAAACGGCTTTATAAACCTCCAAGCTCTCCGTCAGCAAGTCCCAACAAGAGTGCTGAAATTACAGCCTTTCCGACAGAGGAAGACAGAGACGGGCCAGTTGGCTCCAGGGGAGAAGAAGTGGTGGCAACTGGAGGGGAGATTGGGATCTCCCGGGCCTGACGCTGCCTTTGGCCCCCTTCTCCCCCACCCTCTTCCAAGCGTGGCCACATTCCGGAGAGGTCCCGAGGCCTCTGGCTTTTGACAGCTTCTCAACCAGCCGGCTGAAAGCCAGCGTTCCTGAATCGAAGCCGGAAGGCTCGGCAACCTTCTCCCCGGGTGAGGGGCACGGGGTTGCTCGGATCCCGTGCCAAGGGCGAGTTTGGATAGACGCAGCATCCGGACACATGGGCAACCTCAGCGGTGCCAGGCAGCCTCTGAGAAGCGTGAGTCTCTGTCCCTTTTGGAAGCTGGCTGCCTGAAAGCTGAGCCGGTTCAAACGGCTGGGTCCAGAAAGAGGACGCTGAAGCGTATATTTAGAGCGATTCCGCTAGACGGCTGCCCGGTGGCAGGAGGGGGAGGCCGAGGAGGACGGAGAAGATATTGAGAAGGAACTTCCAAGATCTCCCTGGCTGGACAGTGGGGAGTTTGGGCCCTGAGTTGCCAGCAGAAGCCAAAAAGATGAGAGGAAAGAACGCGCTGGAGCCAAGAAGCTGCAGCAGCGAAGAGGGCTTCCTGGGGGCAACTGGGGGCCTTGGCTCGCGGCGGGCCGTGGGCTGGCTCTTCCTTCTCCTCTTGGCCCTAGAGCAGCTTTGCTCTGTCTTGGCCTTCTCCACTTGCAAGACGCTGGACATGGACCTGATGAAACGGAAGCGGATTGAGGCCATCCGGGGCCAGATCTTGAGCAAACTCAAGCTCCCGAAGCCCCCCGAAGCGGAAGACCCCGAGTCGCGGGTCCTGTCAGAAGAGATCATGGCCCTCTACAACAGCACCTTGGAGATCATCCGGGAAATGGCAGCAGAGGAGCCCCAGGAGACCTTGCAAGAAGAATACTACGCCAAGGAGGTGCACCGGTTCACGATGCTCCCCACTGACCACGGTGAGCCTGACGCGGGAGGGGGGCCGAGGGAAAGCATGGCCAACGGGGCCACAGCGTGGCTGGGAGTCGGAGCGGGGTTGGGGCGTTGTTGGTTGGTCGGTGAGTTGGTGGGTTGGTGACGTCTGTGGGTGCAGGCTGACCCAGATCAGGAAGGAAGACGATGCTTCCTCCATAGGTGGAGATAAAGTTGAAGGCAGTAGCTCAACCAGCTTCATTCCTCACTGTTGGGGACTTGCTTTCCCCTTTAGGAAAAATCCGGAGTTGGGGAGCACCTTTTCCGACAAATTTTGTTCAAAGGCAGAGTGAAAGCTTCTGCCTTTGAATAAAATGTGTGTGTCAGAAAAGGTGCTCTCAGACTCCAGAATTTTTGACACCGTAGACCATCACGGCTCTCCTCCTACAATTGCCCTTTTGGCGTTCCTCAGACTTCCTAACTTTCAAATGCCCACCATCAAATGGGAACAAATTCACTTTCTCCCCAAAAGCTATTTCAGGGAGCTCTCTGATGCCTGTGCTAAGTTTCGGGAGGGGATCGGATATTTCGGAAGCGCGTGCAACATCTTGGCGTGAAAAAGCAATCAATAAAGTTAAAGTAGGGAGAAGGCTGGGAGAAAGGAGTGATGCAAATTGGGTGACGGCTAAGGTGTGTCAAGACATTAATACAATCCAGAGGGAGGTGGGGGAATTGGGGAGAAGGCTAGAAGGAAAATCCCGCTGCGTCTTTTGACCCGAAAACTCCAATGTTTCTTCAGCCGCTCAACAACATCCTGACAAGGAAGGATGTTCAAAGGTGGAACGGCCAAGACAGTTCTAGAAACAATATGCTGAGCATCAAGCAGGGCCTGTGGGTAGCCAAAAAGGCAACTTGGCAAGAACAGAGCACCCGGGCAGTATCACAGTTGTGGTACCACATGGAGTTGGTGTCTTGGCATGGGTTAAACTGTTTACCTGCGGTGGAGGAGAGGAACAAGCCCTAGTTACAGGGTCACTTTGCTTTCTGTTGGGAATGGTCAGAAAAGTCAAGATGGGGCCACAGTGGCCCGACCAAAGCTTCAGCTGTTTTGTGTGTGTGTGTGTGTGTGTGTGTGTTGAGCATTGATTGCCCCACTGTGACCACCATCTTGACTTCTTTGGCCACATTTGTGCACAACCCTGGTTTTCTGAAACAGACTAAAAAGACCCCAAACTTAAAAAAAAAATTAAAACCTGCCTGCCCCATGAAAACTAAGATAGGCAAAACATGTTCAGCTTGGAACGGTGAAAGCTGGTAAGATCAGGCCGCACATGGTTGAAGCTGGTAACAGGCATCACGCAGAGAGAGGGCACATGCTTTGAAGGCTGTGGGTTCAGTGCCCCACTAGGGATTCTCGGCCACCACAACTGGACCTGTGCCCACACCTTAGAGAGCCTCCACAGTCACACTGTGTCTTATTCCTGACCCCTCTGATGCCAAAATCATGTACCTGTATCACGATGTCCCACTGCAAATTCTACCCTTTTGTATTTGCATCACAACATCACCCACAAAATATGTTAGGGAGACCTTGCATTGCAATGTCACAAAGTGGTTCATCGCCTCCCATCCGGCAAATTCCTATGCGAAGGCAATACCCCCTCAGATAGCCCAGGGACTGAAAAATGCTCCTGGCAACTTATCTGGGCTTACTTTTAAGCATCCTGTCAGTGCCCAGGTTGGCAGCCTGTTCCCACATCTCAGAAGTGTGGCACAGGTGAAGGAGAGAGGCAAGTTGTTGGCAGGGAAAGATAAGCTTTATAGCAGTGTTTCTCAACCTTGGCAACTCTAAGAAGTGTGGACTTCAACTCCCAGAATTCCCCAACCAGCATGGCTGGCTGGGGAATTCTGGGAGTTGATGTCCACCCATCTTAAAATTGCTAAGATTGAGACACACTGCTCCAATGAATAATCTAACCCATACTTTCTCTGGGAATTCTGGGCATTGAAGTCCACCTATCTTAAAGCCTGGCTGGCTGGGGAATTCTGGGAATTAAAGTCCACCCAAATTAGAGCTGCTAAGGTTGAGAAACCCTGCTTTACAGATTCTGCACAAGGCTGTGATTAAGTCACAGGCACTTTTCTGAAAAGGGAAAGTAAAATCGGACCTTCCACTTCCGCAGCCCCAATCAGTGAGTTTAGGAGCAGTTTTTTTGACGCCTCCTTTCAGAAGACCCGTCTTTTGGGGTGGGGGGGTGTTCCTGAAGCCTTACCCCCCCCCCCCGGCTGTTGGCTTCCTTTGGTGTTTTTTTCCCCGCCCGCAGGAGGATCCAGGCTGCAACGCTGCAGCTCTAGAAACCCCTTTCTTGAACCCAGCTAGGACTTTTCCTTTGGTGGATTTCTTTCTCTGTTTTTGCAAGCTCAGCTTTGCCGAGGGGAGGAGCGCTCGCGGGTGCAAGTGGAGATTGGTTGGTCAGACTTGAGGTACTGTTTCCTGTGAAACTGTTTGGCTCAGCAAACCCAACTGCCCGATTGCCACTTGGACCCAAAGGTGGGGTTGCCTGCCCCCGTACCGCCTGGCATGCCCGGGCCAAAGCTGGCACCTTCTTTTTCAAATTCAGGCACTCCCACGTGGAGGCTGCCTGGTGAGCGGCCCTTGAGAGTCAGAGTTAAACGGAGCAGGATGTTTCTGCTCCTCCACCGGGGCCTGGTGAAGTGGTCCTGGGCGAAGGACACAGGAGCAGGGCCGGGGAGGGCAAGAAGGAAGTTGGCAGCCAGGTTTGCTCTCGCCAGCCTTCGCAAGGAATGGCAGGCTTTTTCGCCATGCTTTGTGGCCACCATCCTGGGCACATGTTTCCTCCTGCTGAAAAATGAGCATCGCCCCTGCTAGGAGCTGAGGAAGAGGGGATGACAGATGGGGAGGGGGGACAGAGGCTGCAGAGAAGATGTGGATCCCACCCAGATTGCAGCCAACTCCGTCTTGGTTCAAGGTGTAATTACCTGCTGGGAGTGGCTGGCGTGCCGCCTAAGCGAATCTGCGGGCCCTCCAGGCACGGGTGGCACCTGGTATATTTTTGGATAGTCTCTTGGAGGTAAGATGGATCCTGCATCGCCCCGGCACGTGCCAACTGGGGAGTCCAGGGAAAAGGCTGCTATGCACGGGGCCCTTTTCCATAGGTACCTTCAGCTGTGGGGCATAATTCCCCCCGAACGGGGCTTGGCCTGGCCTGGTTTCTCTGGGGCTGCTCAAAGCGCAGAAGAGGGGCCAGTTTTTTGCTTTTTGCTTAACTCACTTTATTCCCCTGCATGGAAGCGGAGCCTGATGCATTCAGCCAAATCCGCTTAGCAGCAAACAGTCCTGTTCTCTCCGTGAATTGCACCTGGGCCTACCTGAAGATCCAGTGTGGAGACTGTGGTCTTTCCCTCGGATTGCTTCCTTGTAACCAGAGGTATACTGCCTCTGTCCCTGGAGGGTCCACTAATTTAGCTACCCTGGCTAGCTGGCTTTGATCATCATATCCTGATGATTGCACAAGAGTCCCCCCCCCAACTTCTTTGAACACCCTCGTGTAAACTTTTCTTCCCAACGTTGCAAAGACAGAGGAGGCAGCACCGGGAGGTAACATTTCAGAACTTGTAAGGCGATGAGAAATCCTCAGTCTGGTACCTTAGGGGAGTTGACAATCTATACAGGTTGTCCTCATTTAGCGACCATAATTAGGTCCAGCAACTGGATCATTAAGTGAAGCAGTCACTAAGCGAAACCGCAACTGTGCTTATGATCTTCCTTCAGCTTTCCTTTCCTTTACAGACTTACAAAGGTTGTAAATGTGAGGATTGGTTGCAAAGTTACTTTTTCATCACTGTTGTAACTGTGAATGGTCGCTAAACGAGGCAGTCACTAAACAAAGACGACTTGTACATCTGGAAGCACAGAAAACATAAGGCAGGTTACCCACCCACTTAATATTTTACTTATTTATTTGCTAGATCCCTAACATGCCTTCTTCCCACAGCTTAAGGTAGCATACTTTGCACTGTCATCTCCAATATTTACTGCAACAACAGCCCTGAAGGGTAGGCTGGGCAGGGAGAGAATGGGACTGGCCCAGAGTCACCCAGGGAGTATCTGTGGGGATTAAGACCTGGGTCTCCCTGATCTTAGTCTGATGCCTGAACCTCTACACTGTTGTTTCTCGACCTCAGTAACTTTAGATGTATGGGCTTCAACTCCCAGCATTCCCCAGCCAGCACACTGAGTTGAAGTCCACGCATCTTAAAGCATCCTGGCTGGGGAATTCTGGGAGTTGAAGGGGACACATCTTAAAATGGCTGAGAAACAGGCTGTACATCACCCTGTCTCATTCAAACCCGAGTCCATTCCCGTGCTTAAAGTGAGGCAGTTCTCTTTGGCGATAGTTCCATTTTGCAAAAATGTGTGTGATGCCCATATTTGTCTCCCTGGCCAGGAGAACAGCTTGCAGTTGCCATCTGGGGCTCCACAGGGCAGGACAGGGGGTCAAGAGACACATCACCGGCAACGCCCGTCCTTGCCTCAGAGGTCATGATGTCATGGCGCAATGGCGCCATTTGTGCCACAAAGTCATTGCCATTTTCACGTCATCGCAGCGTGCCGTGGCAGAAACCCAAGTGGCAGTGCCCGGGATTCTCAACTCTCCCATGCATGCAGGGAGCCTGAAGCCCTGCCATCAAAAATAGGAAGGGTGCCTGGGTGCACATGCAGAGTGCTTTTCCTTAGAGAGCACAGAACCCCCCAGGGGGGCTTCTCTCATTTACTGTCCACCTGGGGAGAGCGATGGGAGTTGCCCAAGAAGCAAGACTCAAAGATTGGAGCTGCCTGTGTGGGGCGGGACCTGTTGTGGGGAGAACTGAGCAAGACCGATCGGGTAGCATGACTTAGTGAAGCGTTTGGGCTGCAGATGTGCTGGTGCTCCGAAGACGGATGTCCTCGTGCCCTTTCTCCTGGCCCCTGACCCAACTTCCGCTTGTGGCCTCGGGTTCTCCCCCCCGCCCCCCGGCCCTGTCA